ACCAGAACACCTTGTTTCAGAATGCAAAATGTGTCCTGGTGTTGATTCGAGAGTGTCAGTTAATAGGCCTGTCCTTAATTATTTTTTTCTGAACAGAGAACAGTTGCTGGGTGCTTGTCCAGCCGTGCAGACTTCACTGGTCTTGCACCGTGACCAGGTCCAGCTTGCCTGACCTCCCCGACTTCACATACCCACCAGGTGTCATTCACATGGTGACAAATTCCTCACCAGGACCTTCAGGTGATTGGCTTTAAATACTACCTTAGAAAAAGAATTTCCCTGTCGTATCCATGAAACATTTGATGCGACTTAGTGTGCAAAATTCTTAATTTGAAATGTGAAGATAGCACTAAAAAAGAGCCTTTGGTGTGATTCTCTCAGTTTTGCTTTTCCTGGGCTTTACCGGCTTGGACAGTGGCTCCTGGTCTCTGGCAGGGGCACCATGTGGTTGATGCTGGGGTTCTTGTTCACAGAATCAAAGAATGAACTTCATGAACACTTAAAGTAGAAAAGCAAGTCAGAGGCTTTTATTGAGAGATAAAGTAAGAGGACAGAGTTCCTGGCTCACACCAGGAGGGGACAAGAGAGTCTGGGGCTGTGCAGTGACTAGGGGTTTTATATTATAATGCGATAAAGAGCTAGGGGTGTGGACCTGTTAAGTGGTCTTAAGATGTTCATCCTTAAGGAGACTTTAGGTCTTTTTTATTCATTTTCCAGCTTGCCATTATTAATTGCCCAGATTGCAAATCACCTGATCAGGTCTAAAGGAGGAAAAACAGAACATAGGCCTGGGCCTTTTAGTATGCTAAAGTGAATCTTACACATGATTATCATATGTATGATTAGCATAATAGAAATATGGGCTATGCTGAGATACTTTTCTTTATTTGGGGAATATTAACTGATCTCACTGAAGAATGACTGTAGAGCTTAATGCTTAACCCAGAGTTCTGGTAGGGGGTTTCCTCGCATATTGTTACACTGCTCTGACTGTAAGTACCTCGCCTTTCCTTTTCTGAGGCCCTAACCCTACTCTGACTACACCCATGGTCCCTGCCCCATGATGATGGGCACCTGGTCATTGGGGGTGGCCAGGCATCGCCTCTGGGCCCAGGATGTGACCCATTCGCAACCTCCCCCTCCCTGCTTCTGAAGCCAATCAGGTAGCCCCCTTTTGGAAAAGCCTCAGACTTATTCACAAATCAATGAGAATCCGAGTCCCGCCAGGGTGTGTTGACAGGCAGCTGAGGATTCGGGAAAGAGGTTGTGCTAAGAAGGGAAAGCAAACTCAGTAAACATGACGTGACACAGAGCCCTCTGTCCCCTGCAGAAGATGCTGATAAACTCTTAACATGTATTCTTGGCCTGCTTCATGGACAGACCTCCTGTTGTCACATGGTCCTACGAAGGAGAGGGACCCTCCTTGTCCTGGGGGTGAGGACCCAAACCAAACCCCATTCTACCAAGGGCAGAGTGCATGCTGGCAACGCCAAGAGTCAGGTGCAGTCTTGGCCCCTCGTCTGCCCTCTGAAGCACACGTTGCCCACTACAGCCCCTTTACATAGGGGCTTAAGGATTTATCTCCAGCCATGAAGCTTGAAATAAAATGAAGTGTGCCTATAACTTACGGTGGTTGAATTCTCACTATGTTGCACAGTTTTACTCAGATGATCTCATTTGGTCCTCACAGCTGCCTGATGGGTAATTTCTAATTCTTCCTCCCTTTTTGTGGATGAAGCCACCAAGGCTTGGAGAGGTCACCCAACTTGTCTAATGTCACATAGTAAGTAAGGCAGTTGACTGTGGAGCCAGATTTCTTGGCCATCAGAATCAGAATGCCCCAAATGAACCGCTCATCCTTCTATTTATTTCCCCTCATCATCATCAGCACCAGATCTGACTGTGTTCTCAGCTGACTGCACCAGCTTTGTGTGCCCTTTATGTGTCTGCCTTCATTTCCCTGTGCAAGAAATTCAAAGACCTCTTTATTGGCCAAGGCCATGTTTCCATGGGAAGAGTCTGAGAAAACCAGGTTCAGGAGATGTTTAAGCATTGCACAGAAAAAAGGTCCTGTGGTCAAATACATTTTTTCCAGCTTTACTGATGCATAATCGGTATACAGCTGCACTTAGTTGATGTATACAATTCAGTGGGTTTGGACATGTGTGTCTGCCCAGAAAACCATCACCACAATCAAGGAAATAAACGTAACAGTCTCCTGCAAAAGTTTCCTTGTGTCCTTCTGTTGTGTTTCTTTAAAAAACTGTGGTAAGAACACTTAACATGAGCTCTCCCATCTTAACAGATTTTCAAGTGCACAGTTAACTACCTTAATTGTATTCTTAACTGGAGGCTCTGTGTTGGACAGCAAATCTCCAGAATGGACTCATCTTAAGCAAATGAAATTTTATGTGTTGAATAACAGCTTCCCATTTCCTCCTGCCCCTATCCCCTGGTGTAACCATAGTTCTACTGTTTACTTCTATATGATTTGACTATCTTATACACTTCAGATAAGAAGAGTCATCCTTCTGGGTTTTTCACTCAGAATAATGTCTGCCAGGTCCATCTATGTTGTTGCAAATGGCAGAATGTCCTTCTTTTTAAAGGCTGAATAACAACTCAATGGCAAAACACAAGCTACTCAATTAAAAAATGGGCAGAGGACCCGAAAAGACATTTTTCCAAAGAAGGCATACAGATGGCCAACAGGCACATGAAAAGATGCTCCACAACGCTAATCATCAGGGAAATGCAAATCAAAACTACAATGAGACACTACCTCACACCAGTCAGAACGGCCACTATTTAAAAGACAAGAAATAACAATTGTTGGTGAGGATGCGGAGAAAAGGGAACCCTCCTACCCTGTTGGTAGGAACATAAATTGATTTAGCCGCAGTGGAAAGCGATATGGAGGTTCCTCAAAAAGCTAAAAATAGAAATACCATACAATCCAGTAACTCCGCTCCTAGGAATTTACCCAAAGGAAAACACTATGTTGAAGAGACACCTGCAATCCCACGTGGGGGCGCTGTTCACACAGCACTATTTACAACAGTCGAGACCTGGAAACAACCTGTGTCCATCTACGGATAAATGGACAAGGAAGTCGTGGCCCACATACCAAGGTCTGCCTTTCTCTTCATCCACGTCTGCCTGGCACAGGGTCGGGGTTCATGCTGTAGACCTCAGTCACTGCTGAATTCAAGGAAGTGTGCCCCCTCCCCATTGTTCCTCTTTACCAACAGGATACACCTGTGGGGACCCTGTGCAACTGCAAGTGACCGTGGTCCCAGGGGTGAGGAGAAGAGGTGCAAACCTGGAGAAGGGTCCTGGTGCTGTGGCCACACTTTCACCCAGGCTTGGCTTCTGACTGGCCAGGAGCACCCGGTGGGGTGGGCATCTGCTGGGTCCTGCCTTGCCCAGCCCCTGTCCTCCTCAGGGGGAGGTCTGCCTAGCTCCCCTTTTGTACTCAAATCCTAGTGCTGTGAGGAGGGGGCAGTGCTGAGCTATCCGTGTGGGGGCAGGGATGGGCATCTCCAGCACCGGACCAGCGCTCACCAGAACTCAGATCCCAGCCCACTGGTCACTAACTGTGAGGCCTCCTGTAAGCTACTCAGCAGGTCTGGACATGCTTGCCCGCAACGTGGCTGTTGCTATGGGCTGGCTCCTGTCCCCCAAATCCACATGCTGGAGTGCACACCCACAGACCTCAGAGTGGGGGTGCTGTGTTTGGAGATGGGCCTTTACAGAGAGTAAGATAAAATGAGGTCATGAGTGTGGCCCTGATGCCATAGGACTGGGGTCCATATCAGAGATCAGGACGCAGATGTCCACATGGGGACACAAGGAGAAGGTGATGTCTACATGCCCAGGAGAGAGGCCTTGGGAGGAACCAGCCCTGTGGACACCCTGATCTTAGACATGAGGTCATTATCTGGGAGACGACGCAGTCCTGTAGCTTTAAGCCCTTGTACATGGGGTGGAGACCCTGACTCTCTAAGGTTCCTGTCAGCTGCTCCGTGTTAGGTCTGGCAACGGGTGTCAAGAGGAGTGCACAGGATGGGACAGCTCCGTCCTATCCCTCTCAGGGCCCCCTGGCCTCCCAGCGCTGGGCCCTCTTGCATTTTCTCAGCACTCATGGAACCGGCCTCCCTGCAGAGTCTGAGCAGCCTCTTCTGAACCTCCTGGGTTCTTCCCAGAGTCCCCCATCCCCAGACCCAGGGTGGAAAGGGCTTCTGGCAGCATGAGCTCTGCCCACCGGTGGTGCTCCCTCCTTGCCTGAGCTCTGGGATTCCTAGTTAACACTTACATCCAGTCGTTCTCTCTGTGTGGCCTTTGTCCCTGCTGGATGCTGGCCAACGCCAGGGACAAGCCTGGAAGCCCTGGGATCTTTGGTTTGGCCTCCACGTGGCGCTGCACTGACTTGTCGGAGGAGGGAGGTAAAGAGGGACCCAAGGTAGACCAGATATCCGGGCTTGTTGTAAAGGGCAGGTTGGTATTCACTGGGCAAGCACAACATGCCTGGCACTGGGCTCAGTGTTTCACCTGTGCCCCTAATTATATTTCACAAAATCCTTCAATGGTGTGGAACAATATGAAGTGTGTGTTATCTCAGGCTGCTTAACAAACGCCACAGGCAGGCAGCCCAAACAGACCTTTACCTTCCCCGTCCTGGAGACTGGACTCTGAGATTGGGTGTCGGCAGGCTGGCTCCTCAGGGGGCCTCTCTCCTGGGCGTGCAGATGCCCCCTTCTCCCCCTGCCCCCTCCTCTGCGTGTGTCTGTGTCTTAATCTTCTAAGGACCCCAGTCCTATGGGAGCAGGTCCACCCTGGTGACCTCATCTTACCTTACTCACCTCTGTAAAGGCTCATCTCCAAACACAGCCCGGCTCTGTGGTCGGGGGTGAAGTGCTGGTGGGTGGGGCTCCAGCATACAAATTTTGGGAGGACACAATTCAGACCATAATATATTGTCACCATCTTACAGGGGGAAAGTGAAGATAAGGCAGGGTAATTCACAAAGCTGCACCCCTGTATGTGGCTGAGCTAGGACCTAGGGGACTGGACACAGCTCCCAAAGAACTGGGCCAGGCTGGGGCAGGGAGAATGTTGGCCCTGTCGGAGGGCCTGCCCCTGAACCTCTGGTGGCTGCTGTTCTGAGCAGATAGTCAGGGGCTGGCGGTCATGTGTCCAGAGGCAGAAGAATGGTCGCAGAGGAACTGAGGAGGGGAGTCCAGAGAACATGTAGATGAGGGCTCTGTCACCCACGCTGTAGAAGGAGACTGTGCCGGCATCGCAGTCCAGGAGGATCCCCACTCGATGCAGGGGCTCCGGCGGGTGCAGGAGAACCCTCGGGAAGGTGAGGGCCCAGAACTCCTTCTTGTACAGCTCCAGGGCCCAGATCCCGTGCTGGGGGGCCTTGGGGACCCTTCCCTTCCGATCTAAGCTCTCCAGACACACTCCCAGGCTCCAAGCTTTCCTTAGCCCCACTTGGACCTCCCAGTAATACCTCCCGGCCAAGAATCTCTCTTGTCCCAGCACGCAGGGGTCCTGGTCAAACCAGCCAGGCTTCTCTGGCAGCTCCTGGGCAAAGAACAGCCGCCTCACTTTCTTCCTGTTCTTAGACAGTGCGAGTCTGGGGCTTGCGGAGTTGGGGTCCAGGGATGGGCTCACTGTGGGAAGAGGCAAAGGTCAGGCTGAGGGTTCAGGCCCCTGAGCTACACTCCCATACAGAGCGGACCCTGGGGATCTGGGCAAGGGGGCTGCAGCTGCCCTGGAAATCCCTTTGCTGCCCAGCTTTCTGCTCTGGACTCCGAACAGACAGCCTCTCCCAGAGGAGGTGGGAGCCAGGGGCATCCTCGGACTGAGATATGGTGGGCACACACTGCCAGGGCCCACCTCACAGTGTGTGTGAGAGAGACAGAGACAGAGAGACAGAGACAGAAACAAATAGAGGCAGAGAGATAGAGCAGGGAGAGACAGAGACACAGAAAGACAGAGAGACAGAAACAGACAAAATATGGGAAGACATAAGAAGACATGAGGACATGGGGGGACACAGAGGGACATGGGAGGACAGGAAAGGGTGGTGAGAACATGAGGGGATACAGGTGGACATGGGATGATACGGGGACATGGGGGGACACAGGGGGACATGGGGGACATGGGGGATATGGGAACATGGAGGATAGGGGGACAGAGAGGACACGGGGGGACAGGGAGGACATGGGGGACATAGGGACATGGGGGGACACAGGGGAACATGGAAGGACACAGGGACAGGGAGGATATGGGGAGACATGGGATGTGGGGGGACTCTGGGGTACATAGGGGGACACGAGGCACATGGGGGACATGGGAGGTGGGGGTACCCTATGAGTGTTGCTTCAGCTGTGCCGCCAACCACTGCAGGGTCCTGTCTGGGGAGCCCCGGGCGGCACCTCAGCTCTACCAGCTGAGGCAAAGGTCTTCCAAAGCCTCCCACTTCTCTCAGCCCCTAGTCCTCGGATCTCCCAGGCCCCCAGCATGCAACCCAGGGAGGGCCTGTCTACGATCCGGAGGGACCAGCCTTTGGGGAGCTGCCTTCTCAACAACAGAAACTTGGGGGCCAGCACTAGAGCCAGCATTACCCTATCCGTCCCGGGCCTCCGTTCACTGGGTCCCGCCTGGATGTCTGAGCACTCACGCTTCCTGAGCTTCTGTCCTGTCGGCTCTCCAACCATCTAAACCAGCTTCTCCCCAAGGTCCCTGCACCTCCTTGCTGGATGGAACCCCGCTCTCTTTCACTTTCTAGCAGAGACTGTTTATTCCAGCCCCACCCCCCAATTCCTCACTGCTGCTCCTGAATTCCCACCAAACCCTTCTCTGTAGAGTCTGAGCGGTGTGGATGGAGCTTGCCCACGTCCCATCTCCATTACATCTGACACCAACTCCCTGACTGGACAATTAGCCTGGCTCCTTCTATTCTAAACCCTCTTATCATTAAAAAAATATTTTTCACATAAAAATATAGTTCCAGACTTACAAAGAAGTTACAAACTAGCATAAAGAATACACCTATGACAACATCTTGCATAATCACCATAGAAGGACCCAAACCAGAAGATGAATCAATGCAATACCTGTTCAACTATCTCCAGACCTCATTCCAATTTTGCCAACTTCCCAATTATGCCCTTTTCTGGTAGTTTTTTTTCCTTTTTAATTGCTAAACAGCATTTAGGTGTTCATCCATGCCCACACTGGATGGACAACAGGATTGTTCTTAGTTTTTAGTGATTACGAAAGAGGCTACTAAGAACATTCTTATCCTAGTCTTTCTGCAGACATGTTCATTTCTCTAGGGTCTGTGTCCAGGACTGAAATTGCAGGGATTGCAGGGAAGCTGAATGTTTCAGTTTGTGAATAACCGTTACACCACTCCACAAAGGGTGTGCTGTTCGGGGGTCTTGTCAGCATCCCTGCCAAACTCCATGTCCATGAGGACCTGCCTCCCCCTGGGTCCGGGCCTGGTATGTCCACTGCCTCCTCCCTCTGTTGTCTGCATTTCCCTTCTCTTCTTGTCTGGTGCTGATGTTTTGCTTATGGATCATTATTGCCCTTGGCCCGGAACTCTTCCCAATGATGCTCCTTCTGAAAGCTGGAGGAGCCTCTGGATCCGACAGTGGAGCCTCAGCGACCCGGCGCTGGGCCCCCACTCCTCAGGCCCCCGCCCAGTCTGCCCGCTGCTGCAGGCTTTCCCTATGGGATTATTTCTCCACACTCACATCCTCAACCCCTGTAGGCTTCCTGTCTCTTCGCACAGGATCGTTCCTTTTAGACAGCAAACCTAACCAAGGTTAAGCAAACTGAACCAAGCCCAGACTAGAGACTTCCCTGGATTCCCCACTCTCGGATTTTCAGCTCAGCCAAGAGGACAGTACTTCTGACAACTTCTACCCAGGGTTTCCCGTGGGAGGGGGGCCTCCCTTCACCCACCAGACCTGCCGGTGCTTTCGGGTCACGTTCCTTGTCTTGTCTCCACCTCTCAGCTGCATCAAACACGCAGTCCCGGACACTCTTACCTCTGGATTTCAGTCCCTCCCGCCACCCTGTCCCTTTGTTGCGATTCCTTTGCCGGGAGTCATCCTGCTCAAACAGACCTTCAAACCTTGGGGTTCTCCAAGCCTCAGTCCTGGATCTTTCTTCTTTGTCTTGTATCTTCTTATTTTTGAAATATTATTCTTTTTCCAAAAGAAAATTTTAAAGTATAATTTCAAGTTTCCAGAGAAATTGAGCAGATCATAGAGTGACTTCCCAAATCTTGTGGATGTTCATTTGAAATGCCAGATATATGCCGTGGGTGCTGAATTTCCATCTCCAGTCCAAGTTTTCCGCTAGGAGCTTGAGATTGGTACATTCATTGGTTTATTTGGTGTCTCCCCGTGGGTATCTGAAAACATCTCAGTCTTCAGAGGTCCAAGCGAGTTTCCACCTCATTGGTGCAAATTTGCCTCATTTCTCTCCAGACCTTCCCCACTGCCTCAGGGGAGCTGCCTCCACCCCGGTCCTCCCAACAACGAGGGCTGTCTCCATGCGAGAGTTGCCAGCCCATCAGCGCTAAGGAGCCCAGACATGTTGCATAAATGTTGTCCTGGCCTTGCTGTGTTCCATTTTGTCCCTATATGTACCCTGATGTATTCCAGGTCCAATAAAAAATGCCACTGGTTTAGGGCTTGCAGCCCTGCACATATTCTATGCCCTGTGAGGACAGGAGGAGACACCTTATTTGCTAATAAATACCTGGCAGCTGGCAGGGGAGGCACTCGGTCATGACTGTAGGTGAGTAAGTGAGGGGACGAACGGTTGCTCTGTCCCCTTGGTCCTTCAGCAGGTCGCCATGTCCAGCTGGGTGCTCTCACTGGCCTCTCTTGTGCCTGCTGGTTCCTCCTCTCCTGGTCCTGGGGGCACCCCTCCACAGATGCACTCTCCCCTCCACACCCTACACCACCCACCTAGGTCATGTCCTGGGGCAGAAATCACTGGTTTCTACACCCTCCATGGGAGCAGTGTTCCCCAAGAGCCTCAGAAAAGCTGACCCTCCCGACATCCGCCACAGGCAGGACTCTTACTGTGTGTACAGAATACACACATGAATGAACAGACATGAATGCAGAATTTATGCACACACATGTTCTCCAGGCCTCAGAAAAATGAAAAAGGGCCAAGGTAACTCCAACACTTTTAAGGACCTGGCTTGCCACTCACCAGCACCTAGCACAGCATTTCTGCACCCAGAATAGAAGCATGCACACATGAGAAGCGTGCACATGTGAAGACTCATTGAACGCATACATATATGGCACAATACATGCCCACATACACATGTACACACACAACTTGTCCATGCATGCATACACATGTGAACACACAGCACATACATATATGTGTACAAGGCACACATGTATATGCAACACATGTGCACATGCACGCACACACAGACACAAAAATGAGCACTCGAGTGCAGGCTGAAACCAGACATGGCCTGGATTTGCCCCCTGGTATCTTTTGTCCACCTACCTCACCATCCTTGTAACTCAGAACTTCCTGCACTTTTCCTATCAGACATGCATTTGTGAGGAACAAAAGCCAAGACCTACATGTCCTTGACAGAGGGCCCTGTCTCCCCTTTCCTTTTGCCGGAGACCATGTGTGGTGGCAGGGCCCCCACCCTGTTGCCCCTCTGGGTGGGATTAGGTCTGTGCTTCTGGCTGCCCTTGCCTTTGGGGAGCAGGGCAGGGATGGGCTGGGGGTGGCCGGGGGAGCAGAGGCTCTGAGCCTCCAGAAGGGCCCTCACCATCGATGACGTCATCCTCTCCCCAGCCTGCAACAACACAGAAAGATGTGAAACATGGAGCTGAGCTTGGCAAGTGGGGCCAACTCTCATTCTAGGGAGGTAAGTCCAGTCTCTCCCTGAGAGACAGGAACAGACACATGCCCCTCAGTGCCCTGTAACACGTAATGGAGGCCACTTTATTCCTCGGGAAAGCTGTGGAGCATAGTTTCCCTCAGCCTTCCTATGTGTGTCATAGGCAGGCTTTAAAGCCAGCTGAGGGACGGGTATGCTCTGCCCCCCGAATTCGGGCCTGACATCTATGAGCAAGTCCCCAGCTCCTGAGATGAGCAGGAGGAAGGGAGTGGGATGAGTGGGCATGTGGCCAAGTCAGCACTGATGAGACCCCTAATGCCTGTGACAGTGCACCCCTCCCTGTGCCTGGCACCTCCCGTACTTGATCATTGCTATCATCACCCCCAACTGATGGACACCCTGGGGCTGAAGCTCAGATCCATTTCTGAGAGGGAAACGCACCAGACTTCCCAAAACACCCAGTGAAGAATAGCTGGGATCTCTGAGAGACAGAGGGCTGGGCAATCCTGCTGCCCAAGCTGGCACAGCTTTCCTATCCTACTGCATCTGAGGACATGAGGGAAAGCCTCATGCAAAAGTTCACGTGGGCGCTCTGGGGGTGGAAGGGGTAGGTCTGTCCTGCTGGAGGGGGACGCACCTTGGAATGTTGGGTCTCCATTCCTGCTGGCTTGCCGTCCCTGCTTATCTGCTCCTCCAAGCCCTTCCCCTTCATCCAGCCAATTTCTGTTCTTTTTCCTCCGACACTTCCAGAAGAGGCAGGTGATCCCAGCTGAGGCAAGCCCCATGACAACAAGGGCCAGAGGCAGCACTGCTGCCATGGATGGGGCCTTTTCAGAAACGGGAGCTGGAACAGATTCGAGGGAGTCAGGGACAGCATGGTGACAGAGCATCTGTGCTCACAAGACATATGTGCTACAGGGGTCATGGGTGGGGGGCACAGTGTTCATAAGCTATGAAATGATTTAGAAAAACAGCGTGTGCATTTGTGTAGATAGATCTGGTCAGATGCAAGGGGAGAATGTGAGAAGTGGCAGAAGAAATGTGGCAGGTGCTCAGGCATTCAGTGAATCTGGGGGAACAGTGCACAGAATTATCTACCTTACTCTTGCAAACTTTCTGTGCATTTGAAATAAGTCAGAAATGAAAATTTTATACACAGTTAAACTTGGAAGCCACCAAGATGTCCATCAGTAGGTGAATGGATAAAAAGACTGTGGTCCATTCAGACCACAGAATATTATTCAACACTAAAGAGACAAGAGCTATTGGTGCAGCCTCTGTGGAGAACAGTAGGAAAGCGCCTCAAAAAATTAAAGATAGAAATATCATCTGATCCAGCAATTCCACTTCTGGGTAGATATCCAAAGGAAATGAAAATATTAACTCAAAAATACATATGCACCCCATGTTCACTGTGGCATTATTTACAATAGCCAACATATGGAAGCAACTCAGTGCCCATCAATAGATGAATGGATAAAGATGTGGTACACACACACAATGGAATATTACCCAGCCATAAAAAGAAAGAAATCCTGCCATTTACAACAACATAGATGGACCTAGAGGGTATTATGCTTAGTGAAATAAAGCAGGTAGAGAAACACAAACACCATGTGATTTCACTTATATGCGAACACTAAACAAAAAACAAAAAAACAAGCTCATTGGTACAGAGAACAGATAGGTTGTTGCTAAAGGCAGGAGCAGGGGAGTGGGTGAAATGGGTGAGTGGGGGTCCAAAGGTACAGACTTCCAGTTATTAAGTAAGTCCTGGGGATGGATATACAGGACAGTGACTGCAGTTAAAGATACTGCATTGCATATATAAAACTTGCTAAGGAAGTATGTCTTAACACAAATTCAGTAATTGTGTCTGGTGACAGACATTAATTAAACTTACTGTGGTGATCGTTTGCAGTATGTACAAGCATTGAATCACTATGTAGTACACCTGAAAATAATATAAACTTACATGTGAATTACATCTCAATTTAAAAAAAGCATGAAAAGAAAAACAAAAACAGAAAGGAGCTATCAAGCCACAAAAAGACGTGGAGGAAGCTTAACGGCATATTAGTAAGTGACAGAAGCCAGCCTAAGAGAGCTACGGTCTGTGAGTCCAGCCACCTGACATTCTGGAAAAGGCAAGACGGTGGAGACTAAACACATCAGGGTGGCCAGGGGCTACGGGTGACGGAGGGATAAACAGGGGGAGTGTGGGGGATTTTTAGGGCCATGTGACACATGTTGGACACATGTCCTTACATGTTTGTCCAAACCCACAGAATGAGCAACACCCAGAAGGGCCTTAACATGCACTCTGGGCTCTTGGTGGCAGTGATGGTCCATGTAGGTCCATCAACTGCAATGAACAGACTATGCAGTGGGCATGTTGAAAATGGGGGAAGCTGTGCATGTGTGGGCAGGGATCAGTGGGAACCCTCTGTGGCCTTCCTCAATTTTACAGGGAACCTGAAACTGCTCCAAAAAGTAGTCTCTTAAATAAACAAAAGAAAAATGAATGTGGGGCAACATGTTCTCTTTCCCCTGAAAGGCAAAGCTCTACATGCCAGTGCTGCCCCGCCTCAGTAATCAGCACCCCAAAACTGCATTTCTCCCACTGCTCCTCCAGGCTGCTGGCAGGGGCCTGTCACGCATCCCTTCTTGCTGCAGGCCTTGTGGCCCTCCTGCTATCTCGGCATCTGGGGATTAGAGCACCCACCAGCACATTCACCCAGCACGTGGGTTTCAGCCACTGTGCTCTTCAGAAGGGTGTGGGAGATGGAGCGTGAGAGGCCTGCCACAGCCCTGTCCTGGATGGCTGGACGCCCTCACCCTGGACACCATGGCCAGGAGGCAGGTGATTGGTGAGGCTGACAGGTTGGTCACAGAAGGTAGGGTCTGTCCCGAGGTCCCTTCACTCCACCTGGAGTTCCGGGTACCAGCCTGCCGAGGTGCACTCTGCCCAGACACTGTGTGGGCCACATGCATGCATATCCTGGGCTCTGAGCTCATGCCTGTGGGGAGAGATGCCTCCTCTAATCTCTGCAGCCACCGCCGCTTCTGTCAGGAGACACAGACCTGGAGAATTTCCAGTGGGTGCTGGGGATTTGTCACGAACTACTCATCCTGTGTTGTATTTATTTCCAAGATATGTTATCTTCATTTCCAGAGGGCAGAACAAAACAGGAGAGGCTCACGGAGAGTGAATACCTTTCCTGTACTGCAAAATTAGTGTCACTCTCTGCCTCTTACACTGTCTTTCTCTGTCTCTGTCCCTGTATCTCTGTTCCTTTCTTTCTATCTGTACCTCTCTCTTACTGTGTCTGTCAAATAATCTGTCTCTGTATCTGTCTCTCTGTCCTGTGTCTCTGTCTGTCCTGTTTCTGTTTCCCAGTCTGTCTCAGTCTCCCTGTTTTTGTCCAATACTCTATTTTTCCTTCTCTGACTCTCTGTCTCCCTGTCTCTGTCTCTCTCTCTGTGTGTGTCTTTCTGTCTGTCTGTCTCTGTCCCTCCTCCCCTCCCAGGCACTGGGCAGTAGGAGGGAAATTAGGAAGGAAGGGCACCCAGGGACCCACTCCCTTGGCACAGGTCGGGCAGGGCACATGGGGCAGACTTGAGGTGCCAGGGGGGATGCTCTGCTCAGGCCCTGGGTCCTGGGGACCTGGAGCAAGACTGGCCTTGGGGAGCCCGCCGGCCCACCTGCCACCCTGAGCCACAGTGTGGCCTCCTCAAACGCAGCACCGTCCCTGAAGCAGCAGTGGAATGAGCCGTTGTCAGCCAAGGTGACATTGTGTATCCGCACGGCGGCCCAGCCCTGGGCCAGGCGCGCCCCCAGGAACGTAGTCCGGCCCTGGTACCGCGCCATCTGCTCGTCCAGCACGTCCCGGCCCGCCCTGTGCACGTGCACTGCGGGGGAAGGCTGGTCCCTGTACCACCGCAGCTCCATGTCCTCGGCGCTGATGTTGAGCGACAGGTGACAGGGCAGCTCCGCATCTTTCCCCAGCACAGCTAGAATCGGCTCGCTTGGTGCCAGCACCGCAAAGTCGGCTCTCCCTTGGGGACAGATGCCAGAGAACTGGTGAGGCCGGAGGGGCCCTGCGGGGCACTCCCACGGCCCCTGCAGCGACGCCTGGAAGCCCGAGCTGACGGGCGGCTCCGGGCTGAGCTCCCCTCCCGCTGCCGGGCCTCCCCTGCAACGCGGGCGCTCGCCTACCGTTTGCAGGGACGCCGCAGGCCAGGAGCTGCAGGAACAGGAGGGTGAGAGAGCAGCCGCACGGAAGGGCGTCCTGACCACGCGTCTGTGCCATGCCTGCAGGGCAGAGACCCAAGCCCCGAAGTCGGTGCCAGGTGGCTACATTAGTTCTCCTCCAGGTCTCTGTTTGTGTCTCCCTCCCTGTCTCTGTCTGTCTGTCTCTGCCTTCCTGGGACACAAGGCACTACCGGGGACCTAACAGGAGCAAAGGAAAAAATACCTGGGAAGAAAAAGGTAATTTTTAACCCTCCAGGTCCCTCCCACTCCCTCACAAGGTGTTGATCCTAGAGTCAGAGACACCACGACAGTCATCGGCTCATGGATAAGGTTCCTCCCATGCAGCGCCAATCTCCACCGAGACACCCTCCAATGTGATGGGTTCCGGATCTTCACCTACTTAGGTAACAGCCTCTGCTTGCTCTCTAGCCATATCCTGGACCAGAAAACCCAAACTCGGACAGGGCGAGTCCAAGGCCGGGACTATCTGCAGCCCCCCTGTTAGGCCTCTCTTTCCTTGTTGTCCCCAAGAGTCCTCTCTTTCCTTGTCCCCAAGAGGACTTCTACAGCCAGAGGAGGGGTCCACAAGCCACTGATCCTTGGCAGGGACGGCCTGAGCCTAACACACGCCTTCAGCTTTATTATTTCTTTTGACCTCTGCGTAGCAAGCTAGTGCTGGAAAACACATCCGCTGGCCTGGGCGATCCCACCCAGCACAGCACAGCTGGACTGGCAGTTATGTGAAGACTCACCTTGACAAATGCTCTCCTCCTATTCTGTGCCTGCCTTCCTATTTTGGTGAAAGCCCCCCTCATCTTGCTGTCACTCAAGAATGGACAGGGAGTGGAGAAAGCAAAGATGTAGACCAGCGCTCTTAAAATAGAAAATACTCACCCAGCCTGAGTCCAGCTGCAGGCTTCCCAGGGAAACGGTGGTGGTGTTGAGGGAATCAGTCCCAGGTGGGGCATAACACAACAGGCGGTGAGATGAGAGGGGAGCCTACAAACTCTGTGGAAGAGCTGGGGTCCCCAATTTCTCTGGAATTCTCCTATTACTTTTTTGCAAAAATAACCTACAGTTCCTTATTGGTAGTTGCAACAGAAAAAAATAAATAACTAAGGGTTGCCTAAGGGGTGTGGCCAACAGAACCGAACACATTGAGTGGTGAGGAGCTGGACCCTGGTAGCAGGAGATAAGGGAAGAGATGGAGACCTGGGGAGGTAGTCCATGGAAGGACAGCTGTCAGGCCTGGTGCCAAGAACCCGAGGAGGGATGTGGCTCTCAAGTGCTGGGATCCAGGCCAAGCACAGAAACTGAGGGATTCAGATAACGTTTGCCATTATCAAAAAACCTCCAGTCCTACACAAGCTGGGCCTGGTTTCTTCAAGAAAGTTTTTCATTGTCAGGTTGAAATGAGCCAATTTCTGGCATTTCCTCTAGAGACTCCTGTGCAGGGTCTGGGCAATCCCCTGTATAGCCCTGTGGCCCTGTCAGTCCATCCTCACTGGAAGCCTGATTTGGGTGGGCTCAGAACACTCACCTGATTTCCCAGCTCACAAGAAAGACACCTGACCAAGCCTTGTCCCCTCCTACTCTTCCTTCTTGTTGACTCAAAAGTCTTGGACATTTTCCAGAAGGGTTTTGGTGGGAAAAGAGCTACAGGGAAGACTGCCTGTTCTTGGAGGCAGGTGTTTAGTTTAGTTCTACAGAATTTTGTGGACTGAAGGTTTGTGTCACCTCCCCCAGATTCAGTGCTCATATGGTGGCTTATGCTGGAAAATGCAAATCCAAGCTGTCCCCAGCATTCCTCCTGGAGGAGTAAATTTTTGATAAGTTCCCTCCATGTACGCAGCACCATCCCTGAAGCAGCAGCAGAACGAGCCGTTGTCAACTAAGGTGACATTGTGTATCTGCACACATTTTCCTCTTCCTGTGCATTGTTTTAGGCAGATAATGACATCAGCTAAAACTCCTCTCCGCTGTACTTATGAGTCAGCAAGGAGGGCTGCGGCCATTAAGAACCAGAGGGAGCATCTTGGGTCAGGCAGCTGGGAGGGAAGCAGGATGGGATGCCTGCTTAGGACGAGGAAGCACAGTGAGTCCCAAAGCAGGTGTGGGTCCAGGCGACCACCTGGACACATGGTCCTTTCACAGCGAGAGCTCACGTGGCCCAGAGTCTTTCATCTGCACTGAGACCTAAAAGAGACATTCACTCTGATCTCCCCACATGGGGCGTTGGGCCTGAGATGGGGACAGGCTCCCTGAAAGTGCAAAGGGGGAGAGTGTGGAAGGCAGATGCAGGAGGCCACCTCCTGTAGGAGCCCATTGATGGGAAATGTCCAGAAGAGGTGAATCCAGAGGGCCAGAGGGCAAGCTCCTGGTGGTCAGGCATGGGGGACAGACGAGGGAAGGAAGCAGAAGGCAACTGCTTAGTGGTTTGGGGGTTTTATTTCAGGGTGATGGAAATACTTTGGAAATAGACGTGGTGGCTGCACAGCATTGGGAATGTGCAAATGTACCAACTTGTTCCCTTTAATATGGTTAATTTTATGTTTCCTGAATTTCACCCCAACTGGAAAAAAAGAAAAGAAAGAGATATGGGAAAAGAAAAGAGATAAATGAAAAAAGAAATGAAAAATAAAAGGAAAGGGAAAATAAGGAAAGAAAAACTAAGAAAAAAGGAAAGGAAAATAAGGGGAAAATTGGAAAGAAGAAAGAAGTTACAAAAGAAAATTTTAGAAAAAGAAAACTAAAAAAGATAAAAGAAATGAGAAAAAAGAAAAAGGAGAGAGTTAAGACAAATGAATAAAAAGACAAAAAAACTTAAAACCTAAAGCTAAAGAAAAAAAGAAAGATGAAAAATAAGGAAAGAAATTAAAAAATCAAGCAAAAAGTAACAAAACTAAAAAAAGGAAATATTAAAGGGAAAAAAATAAAAAGAAAAAGGTTAAGAACTAAGACAAAATCTGACAAAAAGGAGAAAGAGAAAAAGGAAAACTGAAAAGATAAAATGATATCATAAAAAAGGCGGAAAAAGGAAAGCTGATCTCCCTCCTTGCAGATGGAATTTTAAAAAAGCACAACAGAACCAGAATCTGTTCGATTTATAAAAGTGGACTTTTGGTGGCTCTTTGGCTCCCTCTGCAGGAATATGTGAGTGGGCCGCAGCCCTCACCGTTNGGGGGCCCAAACCAGGAAAGAGTTTCTGGGCACCCAGGGGCCTGGGCTCTCCCCTCCTCCTGCCCTGGGCACCAAGCACCTTGTGTGGGTTCTCGGCTCTCAGAGCGCCTGCAGACAGCTCGGCCAGGGTCGCCGCAGCCCCCTCCAAGTCCTATAGACCAAGTCCCTGGAGCCACCTTTCCCTGTTCCCTGCTTCCCCACACAAGCCTCTTGCTTCCTGCACCCTGGGACTGGGCACGGTGTTTCAGCTCCGCAGCATTTAGACTGGGGTCCGCCCCAGTCAGCAACGTGTTGACTTGGCTCTCGGATGGCCGCTTACCTCCCCGAGGCTTTACAGCTTCATACCCACATGGCCAGGTCCAGGTCGCAGAGTGCCACTACGGGGTGAACCGTCTCCTCAGTTCTCCTAGATCCCATCTTTTTATGACAAATGCTCCATGTTCTGTTTGGGAAAGCTGAATGTAGCTCAGACCCAGATCTGTCAAATTTCAGAGGTTCCCTCGTGTGTCCTGCCAAGCGAACAATGTTTGAGAGAGCCTTGGGTGACAGTTCCTGAGGTGACAGGACTTCTCAGAAGAAGAGGAGGGGTAAGAAGGGAGTTGAGAGAGGTTGGGGGACTGAGGGCAGGGTGTCTTGTGCATGAGGGGAGAGGGAGAAAGTGAGATGTTTGGGACAGAAAAATAACTGTAGAGTAACTTAAATAAATGTGTAGGTTATTCCATACCCTATAGCAGTGACTCATGCAAAGAAAATCTTTGAATCAGACCTTTGTGTCCTTGGAATGCACTAGTAAGGTAATGAACAGAAAAATCTCTTATCTGAGATTGTGTCCATCCCCCTCCTCCTCTTTCTGACAGCTCTACTGATACATAATGCACATGCCACACCGTTTGCTCACTTAAGTGTACATTCAGTGGTCTTGGTGCACTCGCAGAGTTGTGCGACTGGTGAATTTCAGAAGGGGAAAGGGCTTGGAAGACACTCTGGGGGCCACATCTGCAGAACTGGTGGTGCACACTCTAAACCCAGCTCTCATGTCTTGGCCGCACGTCATTCAGCCCACTTCCGAATGCGAGGGAGATTGCCTGGATGCACGCATGGGTAGGAGGAAAAAATGAGCCAGTTTCTGCCACATTATTATTTCTTTTTCTCATCACCTGGTATTTTTCCAGTGTCTTCTGACTGCCACTCATCTTTTTGATGAGTTCTGACATTTTCCCTCTTCCCCTTGGGATATGTCAAAAACTAGACTGGCTAGCTGCCTTGAATGCACAAATCATCAGGTATTGGAAATCAGAGCACCCACCTGGAGTTACTCCCTCTGGACTGTCATGGGAGAGAGAGGTGGACTTGTGTCTGCTGCTTTAGGTCTTCTTGTTGGAACCACCTAGCACACTCTCCGAATAACTCACTTTATTCAATGGCACCCTGCAGAACTCCCATGGTGTGAATCCCTGCTGCCTCACAGAGAGCTTTACATGCCACACAACCTGAACTCAAAGTGAGCCACAAATGTCCAAATCCAAATGAATTTTAAATGTTTTTTTTTTTCTTTTGGTCAAGGTATGTGCCCTTGCAAATTTTCTTTTTGGTATTTTTTTATTGAAGTATAGTTGACATAAATATTATATATTAATAGAATATTAACATGTCAGTTATATATAATTATTGAGTCACTACAATGTATACTTGAAACTAAGATGTGGTACATATACACAGTGGAATATTATTCAGACATAAGAAAGAAATCCTGCCATTTGCAACAATATGGATGGACCTAGAGGGTATAACGCTCAGTGAAATAAGCCAGCCAGAGGAGACACAAAATCTCAATCATAATATAAATCAATCATGGGGATGAAAGCACAGCATAAGGAATATAGTCACTAGTCCTGTGTTCTTGCAAATTTGAAAATAAAACACTTCAGAATTTTTAGAGACATAAACAATGCATTTATTATTAATCCAGACTGAGTTACAATAAAAGAAAT